AAATGTCACTTTTACCCATTTGTAACTTGAAGCACACAATTATTAATAAAAGGTTTATTTTGGCATTGGACTATATAATTTTATTACATTTGAGTGGTTTAATTTAATTGTACCTGAATAGTCACATGGATTCGACGCTTCTGGTATATCGAACAACATGGATTATTCAAATCCTCTGTCACATGCAAGAGAATTAAACTAAAATAGTGGATCCAAAAAGATTGAATTTATAAATAATTTAATGTGGATCTTATATGTTGACGTATCCTTCAATTTTAATAATCCTTTTGGGAATGAAGAGGAGGTGCAATATCGAATATTCGCACGCATTATAAACTTTGTAATTGGTATCCTAAGAAGACCACTCTTGCTTTTATTAAGCTTGAGCTACAACCCAGCATGTGAGGAAATCTTGGGATTGAGTACCTCTGCACAAAATTTGTGTTGAGTTTTTCTTCTTTTTACTCTCCCTTTTCCAAACCCGATTATTATGTACATGTTCATACATCTTCTAGTACTACTACTAATTTAGACAATAATAAATCTGTTTAGTTAATTAATATATACCCTCAAATGTGGTTGAGCGGTGAGCTTTTCTTATTGCTTTGAAAAATCAAAGAAAAATAATCATAATTTGGAAAATAAAGTTACATGTAGTGGTGATGTTGGTTGCTTATACAGGACAAACCTATAAAATATATTCCAAGGCAAATTTTTAAGCACAAAATATTTTAATATGGTTTGTTACGTTCAGTTCGTTATTATAATGAAATTGTCGAGCTGATTTTGACAGACAACATTCTGGGTTCAGATTTGAGAAGAAGGGTAAGTAGGTAACAGTTTTTGGGGTCATAACTTGTCTAAAAGTGCCACTGGCTGCCTCAGTGGTGATTTCAATTAATTTAATGTGGAGTTTTATATTTTAACCTTGACCCAAACACTTTAATTTTATAATTTTAAATAATTATAAAGAAAAATTTTATGCATAAAATTAGGATTTGTTTAGTCTCTCATCAGTTATGTGTGTTAAAGCTAATGGTCATCTATAAATATATATTTCTTTTAATCTTCATATGTCTCTTTTCAAAAATAAAAATGTAACGAATTACTAAATGTTAAAGTGTGTAATATCATTAATAATTTATTAGGAATCAAAGAAGATAATATGTTTAGGATTTTTTCAAATTGATGCATAATATTCTTTTATGAATATATATTTATTTGACTTAATGAAATATATTATTAAATATTATCTTTATTCCATTTTAATTGTTAATATTTTAGGAAAAATTGCTTCCATTTATATGTGTTTTCAAAGTTCATATCTATATTAATTATTATTTTATCAATTATATCTTTACATTTCATAACTTTTAATTAATTTGCACTTACAACTAACATGTATTTATTATAAAATAAAAATGAAGAGAATATAATAGAAAAAAATAAATTCATTGTATGAAAAACAATTATTACATTTATTAGTTTGTGTATAACAACTTTAAACAATTATTGGAAAGGAATTAAAATAATATTTTAAAAATTTTATAAACTTTATTTATTTATTAAGAATGTTTTATTTAACAATTAATTCACTGAAATTTAATGCAAATCGTGAGTTATCGAATATAATAACTCTACTAAAATGTACTATTTGACTAAATAAAACTATTTCCTTAAAATGTTTGCACAATATATAGCTTTTGAAATAAAATATGCAATTATGATTAAAAAAAAAGAAATTAATTTAATTTAATAATCAAATTCAAAGTAAAAAACAAAAATATGCAAATAAAGAATTAAATCAGAGTTAAAAAAAAGTATTTATATATATGTCATCAATATTATTTGAATGTTTTATATTATCCATACATTGCAAGTACTTTATTTATTGTCGGATGTCAAATGTCACTGTTTCTAATTATTCTTTTAATATAAATAAGAATAATTAATGATTATCTATTTTATAAATATTACATATTTTATACACTATTTTTTTAGTCATTCTCATATCTTCTTATGAAAGATGAACTTTATTCATGAAATATGTAAGTGTCTCAGATAATTTTTTAGACTAAGTGGACCGGTGACGAATTTAAAAAATTGTTTAATGGGATTATAAAATATTTTATAATAAGTTTATAAACAATATGACAACTTATAAAAATATATATTTTTATAATAAAAAATCTAAAATATTCCTTTTTTACAAATCACATTTTTCTTGTAAATATTGTAACATTTTTTCCTTTTTCTATTTAAGATTATATTAAAGTGTGAATTTATGATTTGTGTAACTTATTTAATACTAGAAAAATAAAATGATAAAAATTAAAAGGTTAAATTTAATAAAACTAGTATTAACTTTTTTTTTAATCTATTCTAAATTTTTACATTCATTTAAAATAGTTAATATTTTAGCTTATACAATGTAAAAGTTAAATATTTATTACATGAAACTAAAATTTATAATAAATTATATATAAAAATAAATATTATGTTTGAATATATAAATATTATTTAAAATTTGTATAAATAGATATTTTTAAATATAAATTATATTTTAGTTTTATGATAAATAATTTATATTGTAATATAATATTATTTTTTGTTATTAATAATTTATTTTAAAATTTTAAAATTTAATTAATAAATAATTATAATAAATAAAAATTGAATTAAATAAAAATGTTTAAAAAAATTTAAAAATTTTCTCGTTGAAGAAATTTTTTTAAAAATACTTTGATAGAAATTCATATTTAATATATAAAGGTTAATTATTTTATGAGAGCAATCCTATTTTTTATAGGAGCAATTTTTTATTATTATATATGTTAAGTTTTTTTTATTAAAAAATCTATGAACAATTACTCCACTCCTCCTAAAATAGACCCACCCCTACCAGTTAACACACAAGGTCTGAAAGAGTCAAAATTTAAAATTAAAAATTAAAAATTAACCTATTTCCATAAACTAATGGCAATTGTAATATATATATATATATTCTAGTACTACTACTAA